GATCGATAGATCGAACGCCTACGTCAATGTTTCCTAATTTATTTCTAATCACGATCTTTTATATCGTTGGATATTTTTTTGTACCTACTATAAGTAGTTAATCAATTATCATGTGGAATTATGAAAGCTGAATCATATAATTATTCGCCAGAAATAACTTCAACTATAGTCTGCCGAAGAAGAAGAAAAATATTTCGCGTAAAAATTGCGAGTACAGTACCTAAGGCGAGATGTAATAAAAAAGAGAACAAATCGTTTTACAAATCTCTCGCTAATTATTAAACTTAGGACCAATTAATGTCCATACTTTCGTATAGAAAATTTATTTCTGTTTTCGAAGGTCACCTTGATGTAAATAAATTGGTCATTTTAAAAATCATTTAAATACCGTGCAATTTTTCTGTATAAACGTTGTTTTCTCAAACACTTGACCGAAAATCAATCGGAGATATTTGAGATAAGTTATGTGATTCATCGCGTGCAATGAAATTTTAGAACGTAGGTGAATATTCCTCGTAATTATCACACGGTAATTAAAAACTAACTAATAAACTGAAAATAAAAATAATTATCAAACTCCTTAAAAAAATTAAATATTTAAATATTTAAAAAATTGCCATCTTCGTCTCTCTAATCTCATTTTAGGTTTTAGGTTAGGTCCAAAATTTTATTTGACAAAGTCTTATTACTTTTATTTGTACTTTCGCGTTGAAAAATCGTACATCTGACCAATTCGATTTCGAACGCAGTTCGAAATGAGTATTTTACTCATAATAATGTTTCTCTCTCCGCGAATCGCGAAGAACGAACGATCTTGACAGCCTTCAGGACATCCACAGACAATTGCAAAGTTCGTAATTTGCGAAAGCCTTGGTGAGAATCGGGAGGAAGGTTATCTTAAGAAAACATTTTACACAATAATTTATCGAGTTCCTGATAAAAATTGTCTGGCATCGGTAATTCCGTAATTTTCGCGGATGACGTACGAGACGAGCGTGTGTCACAATCATGAGAGGAAAAACACCGTAACTAATTTTAAACTCATTGGCCTTCGCCGAAACGATATTCGAAATGTCTGTGCTTTTTTCTTACGTTTTTCGACGAATAGATTGCAAAGATTATTCTCACGCGATTTGAAAGTTCAATTACGTTTCGACTCAAGATT